TTTTTTTTTTTTTTTTTTTTTTTTTTAAATCACTGCTATAAACTTTAATGCTGCGTGCCTTGCACTTTCATTACGATAAACACGACACTTTTGCTATATATTTAATTAGCCTCTACCCTCTTGTTAGTCCTATCCTATTTTCCTCTTCATTCTTGTTAATTCATCTCCGAATTGTTTTCAAATTTTCTTAACGTCTGACGGAGCAAACCAATAATAGTCCGAAAATTTATTCGAACGGATGTATTTACTAAATGGCTCTTATCAATATTCTAGCGTCAACCTTTATTTAAAACTTTTTTGTTTTAACGCTCGACAGTCGAGGTGTTCTATCGATAAGCTAAACGTACGTGTCGAAGCATTATGGACCCAATATTATCCAATCGTATATAACGTGTATTTTTGTTTTGTTCTATTTACGGTAAACTTTTGTGAACAAGTGTTACAAGCTAGGCAATATTAAAGCTGTAAAAATTTGCCGGAGCACTTATCCGCATTCTGCTCTGCTCTGTCGACCTTGTACTGTCTAATTCTTCGAAAGCGAGTATTTTTGTTTGGGCAATAGTTTGAGGTACGCTTGGTCGATATATCTCGAATATTATCGATTTCTCTCGACGTTAATCTCCTTGATATGAATTCATTTTTCAATCGTACTGCTACTGTACACTACTTATTGGAGAATTTCTTTTTAGCGTAATTGTAAAAAAAAAAAAAGGAAGAAAACGTTTTCGATGCTTAGTTAGTTGGTTGGTCGTTGAGTCGTAGAATCAAAAATTTATCAATTGGATTGAATTGGATCAATATTCGCATTCGGTTTATTTGCGAGCCGGATAGGACAAACCTGTTCTCGCCTGATAGGTATTTCAGTTACACGTCGATTGTTGTGAAACAGGTGCGTAGCGATTACGGTCTGTGAATTTTTATATATTTTAAAAAAACCGCATACGTAATACGTATGCGTTTATCTTCACATTATATTTATATACGCAATATACTTCATTTCTATTTCGAACGTGATTTGCTTTTGTGGTCAATATGACTTATTATTTTGACAGATTGATTGCTACGTAGCCAAGTCTTTGTAAAATTATTGTCTCAACCGCAAGGAAATGTAAAAACGTTTGATTCGACCAATACAATCGGTACATAATGTTACGGTAATTGCGTCATTGCATCGGAGAAGAGACGCCACGGTCGCGCGTATAAAAGCAGAGCGAGCGAGGATGCTCTGAACCGAACGCTAGAAGTCATCTTCGAAACGAGAAACTAATCGTGAAATTTTCTTTTCAAATTGCAGATCTGTGTGGGCAAATTGAAGGATGATCCAAACGTAAGTCGAAGCTTACCATTGCTGATACTGCAAAACTCAATTCGATTTTTCGTAAACGCGTGTCTCTCGGAGGGATCGTAATAACGGTGGTACACACACTCTCTCTCGTAGCAGACTTGCCGGAAAATAACCAAGTGCCCGCTCCTGGTTATTTTTGGCGTTACAATTGATTTGCTGTATTTAGTGGATGTTAAATCGTTTTGTGTCTTGCAAACGTATGCCATTCAACGTATCGATATTCCTCGGGAGAAAGTTTCCTTTCAACTTGTGTAACGCAGTAATCGTTATTTGCGAAGCGAAGTTATTAAAACTCGCTTCCATTATGCATTACGATCGTTCTCACACTTGACTTTCATATATAAAAGTGTAACGTGAAATGTTTCATTCACTTCGGATCGCGTTCTTTTCTATCATGCTGAAAAACGAAGTGTAATTAAGTCATGAACGTCGTTGCGTTGGTTACGTGTTCGAGTTACTCGATCCATTTCCACTGGCGATCAATTATATCATAATAATTGTAATAATGTGATCTCGCACTTGACCGTAGATGATTCCTTTCGTTCGTTTTCGTTGTTGTTACTCGGCGCATCGTTCATAAAATACACGCACTCTGTTAATATAAAATATATGTCGCACGTCTAATCAAGAACGTTTTCTCCGTTTTCATTTTACAGAATACAGATATCCTTGGTCAGATACAAAAGATTCACTTGCACATCGTATCTTTGGGAAGGTGCCAGGTAAGTTGAGCATCGATTTCCTCAAGCTTCACTATTTCGCGATGATCCAGGACTAGTTTGCTCGTGGACGTTTTCATATTTATGCCTGCCTCCATTACGTGCAAATGAAAGAAACGATAGCATATCGAATTGTTCTATCTCGATAACAAATTATCTAAGTAACGTTATAAAATCGTAGCGACCGAATGTCCTTGATTTGAGATAAAGGAAACACCCGTTAACTCGATCGATAGAGCACACCATACACGAGAGGAATATTTTTAAGGCAAATATCGAAATAACCGCGTCGCCATCTATTCCAGTGATCTCGCTTATCGGTGCGCGATGTAAATTAAATATATTTTGGTAAAAAGGACGTTATAATAATTGTCTTGTTTAACGAGATAAGTCACGTTTGCATTCGTCACGAACTATGCCATACGTCCAAGCGTCTATGTATCGACCTCCTCCTGCACTAGGCTCGCAGTTTCTTCATAGGACGCACACTAGAATGAGTAATGCACAGTTATAATTAAATAGCGAACTCGTTGAGCGAGTTTACAGACCACCTTTCCAAACTTTGTCGATCGTATCGAAGATAGAGGCGAACAGACGTTTTGCTTAAGCACGATATATATATATATATATACTTCTTCTTTTCTGCTCTTTCGCAAAGACTTATTCGACCGCTGTAGTCGCTATAATTGTTGCATTACCACAGGTCCGTGTGTGTGTCGCATCCGCTAATAATTTCCCGATCGAGAAAA